GTTTTAGATGGTGACCAGGAGGGCTTTGTCATCTTGGATGTAATAATTGATATATATATATATATATTTATGTGTTTTAGATGGTGACCAGAAGGGGTTTATCATCTTGGATGTAATGATTGATATATTATGTATATTTATGTGTTTTAGATGGTGACCAGGAGGGGTTTGTCATCTTGGATGTAATAATTGATATATATATATATTTATGTGTGTTTTAGATGGTGGCCAGGAGAGGTTTGTCATCCCCGTAATGTTCCCTTAAATATACAGGTAAAAGCACATCAAGTAGGGGAATTCCCTGTTAGATTCTTTGGATCGCATGACTTTTATTGGACACATCAAGGGAGGTAAGAGAACATGGATTCTATCAGTTTATGTCAAGAATAATAATCAAGGATTCTATCGGTTTATGCAAAGAATTATTTGAGAAATACGTGATTTAAATTCCAGTTGGAAAAACAATGGTTTGGTGAAGTGGAATTAAAATTATATTGTCTCTAGTGACACAAATGTTTTATATTTTTCAATTTTTAGAGTTTTTCTGTTTCAAGAAGGTGACAAGGGAAGTCATGATGGGGGAGCTGCTAAAGGTCTCACTAAAATATTTCAACGAGGTATGCAATATTTTTTGTTTTCTGTTTGTGAAAAGGAGCCACAGTGGCTTGGATGTTGGCTTGGTAACCTGGAGTTTCCATGTTTGATCCCTGTCTTGCCCGAGAAAGTTCATCAGGGTTTTCCGGCATGGTTCCCTTTGGTGCAGGACAGCGGGCCTGGCAAGGGAAAACATATAGTCATTTGGATGGGTCGAAAACCTATGGTGCCATAAAAGATCCCCCTGGCGAAATTTCCCTCATAGTAGGACGTTAAACGCTGTTTTATTTCATTTGTGTTATATAGATTTATTGAATATAGTATGGCCTAATTATGATATTAATTAATAATTTGTATGTGTATATTTTGCTGATTGTGATATAAATTTGTTAATTATGATATTAATTTGTATTATAATTTAGGTGTTGTGGAAGCAACAGAAGCGTTTAAAATCTGGCAGGCGGCGAAAGAAAACAAAGAACAGTTAGAGAAGGAAAATAACGCCAAGAAACCTGCACCATATAAATTTGTCATGGTAACAGTTATACAATTATTTAAAATTAATTAATCTCAATTTTAATCCATGGTTATATTATTTGTTTCTCAAATTAAAAACCGCTGGAAACTTCTACTCCTTGGACTGTTTCTCAAACTGCTGAGTCGTGAAATAGTTCACAGGTATTCAGGTGATACACAGGTATATACAAGACAAAGTCAGTTTGTGGAACTAAACTGAGTAATAACGTTTCAGGTGATGGAGGGATTCTGTATTTTTCTCCCAGTGTTAAAAACCCTGTGCACCATTTGGTTATTTTCATGTTAGTCTCAGAATGTCTGAATTTCTGTTAAGTTGCTTCTAAAAAACTTATCCCTCATTCTATATATTTTTATTGATTTTCAGACCAACATTCCTATTGGAAATGTTCAGATCAATAAAGCTGATTTATCGGAGATACCGAGATGTGAATGTCGATCGGATCAGGAGAATCCGTGCAGTTCCGACTCGGATTGTTTAAACCGGATGTTGATGTACGAATGTCATCCCCTTGCCTGCCCTGCAGCTGAGAAATGTCAGAATCAGAAATTCCAGAAGAGAGACTATCCTGTTTCCGAACGTAGAGGTTGGGGGTTATATACTAAAGTTGATGTTAAAAAGGTAAGGGCGGTGCTCTTTAAATTTTTAGTGCCAATTTTTAAATAAGTATGTGGGTGATTTATTTTTTTTAGGGCAAGTTTGTAAATGAATGTATGGGTGATTTATATTTTTAGGGTGAAGTTTGTAAATGAGTATGTGGGTGATTTATATTTTTAGGGTCTGTTTGTAAATGAATGTATGGGTGATTTATATTTTTAGGGTCAGTTTGTAAATGAATATGTGGGCGATTTAGTTGATGAAGATGAATGTAGAAGAAGAATAAAACAAGCCCATGAAGATAACATCACAAACTTTTATATGTTAACACTTGATAAAAACAGGTATTAATAACTTTTATATGGGAGCAGGACAATTACCATCAAGATCAACTTCTTGCAAGGATGGGTCCGTCGAATGGTTTAACGCGCGTGCACGTTTGTTCATAATAGTCGAGTGACGTGGTATGTATGTGGCAAGGAGTAAGGTCGTCTGTCCAACCTCGTGCAGTTTCTCTGGGTCCTCCGGTTTTTCTCCCACTGCTAGAGACCCCTACGCGCAAGCAAATTATTGAATCAAAACTAAACCATGTTAGTCCTGAAATGACCTAATTTGTGTCAAAAGGTTGTTAAAGGTCACCAGAAAAGCTTCATAAATTTTTCAAATAATAAGTAATTATTCAAGTAATTTAAGCCCCATTTCTCTCCTGCAAGGAAATAAATGTTATGCTGTTTGTGACAATAACAGTATGCTACACAGTCAGTTGTCACTAATTTCATGTTTTTGTTTAAATGTTTTGATGAACTGTGTATAATGAATATGTCATGTATTTTTATAGAGTTATAGATGCTGGTCCCAAGGGTAATTTATCAAGGTTTATGAACCACTGTTGTCAACCTAACTGTGAAACACAGAAATGGATGGTAAATGGCGATGTACGAGTTGGACTGTTTGCACTGAATGACATTCCATCAGGTATGATGACCTGAACCTCTTCATGGCACCCAATATTCCAGAATCCCTCACCTATTGTAGTAATACTGGATACGAGAAGAGGGACGGCAACACTCCCTTCCTTAACAGGGTAACTAATGCTGGACAGGCTGATACATTTGTGTGAATACTGGATCAAGAAAGAGATACCAGTGGGGCGAAGGTGTAAATACAATAAATTAAAGAATCCCCGCTCAACATATTTGCTAAAGTGTATCTCAACCCGAAACGTTATATTATCTTGACATCTACCAAGTGTGTTGTGCTACTGTTGAGTGGGGATTCTTTAATTTATTGTAGTAATAAATTGATCTCTTTATGGCACCCAATATTCCAGAAACCCTCACCTAGAAATAAATGAATCACTTCCTTGAACCCATATGAATATAAGATAATCAGTTTGAGTGAATTTTGACGTTAATTAAGTTGTAGAAAATTTGATACTTGTTGAAAAATGTAAATGATGAGACTTGAATTAGAAATGAGCCTATATTAATAATTGTATTGTATTTTTTTCCCCAGGATCAGAATTAACGTTTAACTATAATTTAGAATGTCTGGGTAATGAGAAGACAATCTGTGCGTGTGGATCCGATAATTGTAGCGGTTTCCTAGGTGTCAGACCAAAGGTAAGACTTTTATTTCGAAGCATTGGATTATGAGGGATTTTTTTTTTATCTCCACCTTTGTTTCCACAACTTGTTGTCAGGGAAACTTGTGTGTAATTTGATTAGTAGATGTAAACACAATCACCCAATCAAACATCTTGCTCATGGCACTGGTTCACTTAATGGACTGAGAAAGATCTTCGGGGTTTCCTAGCCTGGTTTCTTCTTGTTCTGCAGATCAGGATGAAGGGCCTGGATGGGAGGACCTGGAAACGAAAAACTGACATCCACCAGTATAATTAGTGTGCACGTTAAAGATTACCTTGACAGAAGGAATTTCTTGTAGAGTAGGTAGAAACAATTTCATATTCTATCTTGTAGTCGGCAGCAGCCATGACCAACGCCAAGAAACTAAACGATAAAGATAATAGCAAGAAGAAGAAGGAAGAGCACAATGATGATTGTTTTGGATGTCATAAAGATGGTGACAAGAAGAAGAGGGAAGAGCACAATGATGATTGTTTTGGATGTGATGAAGATGGTGACAAGAAGAAGAGGGAAGAGCACAATGATGATTGTTTTGGATGTGATGAAGATGATGGCAAGAAGAAGTGGGAAGAGCACAATGATGATTGTTTTGGATGTGATGAAGATGATGGCAAGAAGAAGAGGGAAGAGCACAATGATGATTGTTTTGGATGTGATGAAGATGGAGATTTGATGATGTGTGATCATTCTAGTTATCCAATAACAACTATATATGGAATTACAATTACTTTGTGATCATTTTAGTTGTCTTAAGGTTAATTCCTCGGACAGATGTAAAATATTAGAAATTAGAAAATATTCTCCATTGTTTTATAAATAAACGACCATTATAAACAATGAGACCTTAAGATAAGTTTCAGTGTAAAAACAAGTGTTTTATTGAAAAATTTTGATAAGTTTTTTTTTCAAATGTTGTATAATGTTAATATTTTAGTAAAATACCTATTATTTGTAAATGAGTTAAAAATAAAATTTTTATGGCATATTTTAAACATGAATGTCGTCATGGTAACATCAAATATTAATTTGTAGTATTTAGTACAGTGTGTTGTATTTTCTGCTAAATAAACAATATTTAAAGTTTTACCGAGTTACTCCTCCTGATGTCGGCTGAGAAAGTACCTCATGATTTTACGACTTGGTTTCCCTTGATCAGTGGTGGAGGACAGAGTGATGTCCCCTGATCAGTGGTGGAAGACAGAGTGATGTCCCCTGATCAGTGGTGCTTGACAGAGTGATGTCCCCTGATCAGTGGTGGAAGACAGAGTGATATCCCCTGGTCAGTGGTGCTTAGCAAGGAGAGTATCTATAGTCGTTCAGATGGGGGTGGGGGGTACAGTTGAATACACTGGGTCTAGGCCAATCAATATTTATTCAATATTTTTTATTGTATTAAAGTATACCCAGGTGTTTACTCAGGTGTTGCAGAGAAACAACCCCAACTGAGGAGTAACTGATAAACTGTTTGTCCTTATCACTATAGTCAAGCTGTAACTGGAAGTTGCAGAAAAACGTTGTCTCAAGGAATCATGGGATGCTTCTGTGTCAAAAGACCGGACTAATCGGATGCAGACCACATATTCTTGGAAGCCAGTCAACAAATGTTACAATTAGGTCACCACAGATAAAACCCAAGTTTATATTATAATAAATAATAAATTTATATACACAATAAACCATCACGATGGCCAGACACGCTTTTTAACAATGTATAACACAGTCGCAAAGAAAAAAACTAACGCTAAAAATATCAACAATTTGTCTGTCAAGTCTCTACGACCATATTTGGTAAGAAGCCGATGTGAAGTTTGAATATGGCCGCCCATTCCTTGAAATTCATCATGGGTGTCTGAAACTGTTTTAGACGAAGAAACTGAAATATAAAAGAAAGATACAAAGCTAATTAACCTTGAATTGACCCAACTTTTACAATGCACTGAGAGAGAGAGAAATGGGGTTTAACGTCCACTCGACACAAACTTGGTCATTTTGGGACTAACATATGGTTTTATTTCAATAATTTGCTTGCAAATAGGGGTCTTTAGCAGTGGGAGGAAACCGGAGGACCAGAGAAAACCCACGAGGTTGGACAGGCGACCCTACTCCTTGTCACGTACAACCGGGGATTTGAAACCACACCAGCTGACTCAATGACAGGCCTTATGCTAACCATCTGGCCATCCAACCCCCACAATGCACTGAATAAAATCGTGAACTCTGGATTTAATTATGTATTTTTTGTACCTAAAAAGTTGCACTGAAAGTAGAAAGAGAGAGAGAGAAAAATGGGGATTAATGTCCAATCAACACAAACAAGGTGATTTCAGGACTAACACATGGTTCACTTTTATTTCAATAATGCCTTTGTTTGTAGGGTTTTTAGCTGTGGGAGGAATCTGAGGAATCCAAGGAAACTCTACAAGGATGCCACACCTTGATATGTACTTTCTTAACCATGTCTGATCTTTACAATGCTAAAGATATACTCAAATTGAGAAATAGGGTTTAACCTCCACTCGACATAAACTATGTCTCTTCAGGACTAACATAGCAGTGGGAGGAATCCCGAGTATTCAGAGAAAACCCACGAGGTTGGACAAGCGACCCTGCTACTTGTCAAGTACAAGGTGGAAATGTAATGAAATGAAATGGGGTTTAACGTCCTACTGTTCTGCTCCTATACTGGGCTAATGAAGACGAGTATACGCCATACAGTGTGCTATGAGGGAAAATTTGCCCGGGCAGCGGCACTTACTCTTATATCGAATTCCAACTGCCAAGGGATCTTTTATGTGCACGCCAATATGTACACGGGACCTCAGTTTTTCGTCCCATCCGAACGACTAGACAGCTGTCCTTGTCAGGCCCTCCGTCCTGCATCACTGACAAGGGGACACCATGCCAGAAAATATTGATGAACTTTCTCGCCCAATGCAGGGATCGAACATCCGACCTCCAGGCTAGTACAAGCTGGGAATCGACACAAAGCCAGTTGACTCAATAACAGACCTTATGTTCTAAAGTGCATGCATTAAACCATTTGGCCACCAGATTGCTGCTATCTATATAGATTGTGTTGTCCTAGGGAGGGGATAAACTCCTTTACGAAACTGATTGACTTACATAGAGTTGTATTTGTTAATTGACTTTGATTGACTTGACTTGCCATCATCCGGTTTAAGTTCATCAGAGATTCGGTTATATTCCCAGCTTTAGCTGCTAAAGTTTCCTTATTACCTTTAGACCTAAAACAGAACATTATATATATGTAGGTATATTACAACATACCTTTGGATGTATAACAGAACAGAGGATTAATTCACTGATTACAAATACATGTAGATATATAACATACATAGCACGTATATATCCAGATGATGACATAAGACAAAAAATGTTGACTGAAATTTTATTAACTCTTTAGCACTTAAACCATTTGAACTAGTGCTTCTTAGACTGTCCCAAACCCTAGACCACCCTAACTATTGCTTCTTAGACTGTCCCAAACCCTAGACCACCCTAACTATTGCTCCCTAGACTGTTAAAACCCTAGACCACCCTAACTATCACTCCTTAGACTGACCAAAACCCTAGACCACCCTAACTATTGCTCCTTAGACTGTCCCAAACCCTAGACCACCCTAACTATCGCTCCTTAGACTGTCCAAACCTCCATGTCACATGCACAGCTGTCAAGCTCTCATGAAATAGTAAAAGGTTGGATAATGCGGAAAGCTTTTTGACATGACGCACAATTCTAAGATGATTGCGATGATGTGATACCCAGGTTCAGAGTACGTAAGTATGTTTGTAGTTGTTTAAAATAAAAGGGGTTCATACAGCCCCTTTTTAACCAACAATGTTACATTTTGAGAGTCCGAATGAACAATGTTTTACCTTTTCCTTACATCTGATTCACATGTGAGTAATTCTTGACGTTGGTTTTTATCAATCTCTAATTGGGTCATTATATTCGACTGACGTAAACTTGTTATGGTACTGAAACATTTCAATAAAAGTTTATTAAAAATAGGGTTGCCAGGCAACAAAATATACCCCACGCAGCTATAAGTTGTCCAAGCAATTGACAAGGGCTGTAACATATTTATTCTTTTGTACATAATGGGTGCATTTACAAGACACTGATATCAATTTGATATCAGATGATAACTTTTGTTGTTAGAGAGTTCATAAGGTTCTACAAAGTGAAACAAGGGCCATAACTCTAAAAGCAATAAACAGAAAATTTTGAAATAAATAGGCTACTTTGTCTCACTACTCTCACTAACATAAACAACATATTTTTATATAAATTTAAAATGATCAGATAATAAATGTAGTCTGTAGAGTTACCATGACAGTTGAAATTACTGTTACCTTGACAACTTCTGTTTGTGTGTTTCAACATTTTTCAATATGGCTTCCCTGTCTGAGTCTTTATCCTGTTCACGTCCCAGTTGATCCAATTCCTGATAAAAAAAAATCATTTGTACAACTTCAACAGGTTATAAATAAAAACCGTAGTTTTAAAATTAGTAACCTAAAAATCATTTGTACAACTTCAACAGGCTATAATTAAAAACCGTAGTTTTAAAGTTTGTAACCTAACAATTAAATGTTTTCAAACTTACCAGTACACAATCTGAATTACAAATCATTTCGACTTTAATTACAACGTGAGCTAGGAGCATTTTGTCTGGACAGCAGCATTACCCCCTACTCGCCCCAGATTTCCATCTGTCACTGGGTCTTTTACATGTGCACCAATATGTAAACCTATGGAGTTAGTGGTATAGAATGGAACAACACCACTGGGATAGAGAGGATGACTTCCCGGATGTTACTTATAGAATGGAACAACAAACCTATGAAAGGGAGGATCCATTCCTGGATGTTACTTATAGAATGGAACAACAAACCTATGATAGGGAGGATCCATTCCTAGATGTTACTTATAGAATGGAACAACAAACCTATGATAGGGAGGATCCATTCCTGGATGTTACTTATAGAATGGAACAACACCACTAGGATAGAGAGGATGACTTCCCGGATGTTACTTATAGAATGGACAGAGGATGACTTCCCGGATAAATCCAGTATGTTAACTTACATTAATTTTATTTCGTAGTTTATCTATCTTTTCTCTGGCTTCGTGATTTAAATCTTCTAAAACTTCGGTTGTTTTAGCAACATCTCTGATATCCTAGTCAAATTAAAATAATTCTAATCAAATATATAGTATTGAACTAGTAAATATAAATACAGGTTCAGTTGATTAACTTGAGCAACAAGTCAAATCTAGTTTGAAGGAAAAGATTTTGAAATTCATCTTTTTCTTTCATATTTTGTTTTCTGGTGATCACATGTGTTAGTCCTGAAATCCATGACCTATTTATATTATTACAGCATATTTATAGTGCGCCCTTTTATATAACATGTTCAGGGGCACTTTACAAAGTGACAATGTAATCATAAATAAACAACAAGATTATGGACATGTTAACGATTGTATACAGAGTCAGTTACATGTATTTCTGCCTGGTCTGACTGATCTAACAACACAGATGTCACAGAGGAAAATCAGACTTAGCATCAAATGTTGTCAACCACTTGGAGTACCCAAGCCATGTTCAATGAACATCCGATACATGTATATTTTTAGAATAGATAACTCTGGTAAAACAAAAGTAGAACTGAAATTCTCATACATGTGTATGAAGTCAATGAAATGACTTCTCAAACCTGGTTTTCTTTAACAAACTCAATCCAATACTCATATTATCATATCATATTATAAACAATTTACATTTAAAACAATTTTACATCGTATAAACAATTTACATTAAAAACAATTTTGAATTTGATAACAACCATCTTCGCTCTACTCACGCAATGCCTGTCACCATTGAAGATACGAGGTCTTATTCCAGACAAAAACCTAAAGAGTTGTCTCCCTTACATGCAGAAAATGTCAACACAGCAATTCAATACGTCGTTCATTACATAATGAGCCATCTTTCAATTTTCTTTTTACCTATATTGTAAGAATTATTAACAAAGATCCAGAATTATCATATACCTGAATCAAGGCTTTCCCCTCGAGGTCTAATTTTACTATTTCTTGAAGGCAAAGCCTGACGTGGATATCTTCAGCAGCCATAATGGAAATTTGCTCAAAACAGTTGTTGTAAATATATTATATTTTGGATAAATAACAATTCATAGATGTACAAACATACCCCTATATCCCACAAAACAATTATTATCATGAATACAGTGTATTTCTATTGCACATAATTGCAACAACAGGTTGATTTTGGCTTTTTTACTTAATGTCGTAATCAAAGACTGGTTTACGGCGTGGAGGTTCCTTATTTCCGGTATTTTCCCAATCCACGTCGCCGAATTGTCAAACTTGGAGTTTATATCTAATTCCACCAAAATTATGTATGAAGGAGGAATATCCGATGGTTATTGAAAAGGCAGACTGTTTTAAACGATTTACTTTGATTTTGAAACCATTAACCGTCTTTATGGCTAGGTAATTATGATTTGCTTATTTGACATTTTTAGTCCGACTACACATCGTCATAGGTCTACAGAACCCTGAAGGAAAAAGGATTACCGGTTACCGACAACATTTAAATAAAACTTTCAGAAACGGTAGATTTATATGATTTGAACACATTTACTTACACACAAGGGGTAGGCCTACCAGTTAACTCGTCCACAAGCAAAGTCATTCGCATACCATACACTTAAAGTCTTCTTAGTAAGTCATCCACAACTGTTGGTTAAGTCGTCCACAACTGTTGGTTAAGTCGTCCACAAGGCATTGGTTTTGTCGTATATAACTAATGAATTAAATTGTGTACGAGTTAAGTACAATTCTTTTTGGACGACTGAACCATTAGTTGTGTAGGCCTACGAGTCAAGTATTAGTTGTGGACGACATACCCAATGCCTTGTACATTGTAGACGATTTAACCAACAGTTAAAACTAAATCAAATTAGAGACTGAACACCATTTTCCATGTTCTTCTAATGCAAATATACACATAACTGACGAAAGAGTGTGCGAAAACATGTACATGGAAAGCAGGCTTTATGCTTGTTTTTTAGTTTATTTTGTTGTCAGAGATTTGATAGAGAACAGCAAATTAACTAATCTGTTATGAGCCAACTTCTGAAAGTTGATTGCAGTATGCGAAAAGGCTCCATCAGAGTAAACCTATCAGGTGTCATAGATTGATCACCTGCCATATTAATCATCAAATCGAACTCAGGCTGGAAAACATTGATTCCATGAAATAACGTATGTGCTTACCTTCTGTAGAGTTTAGTAAAGCTATTTTATCAGTATTTACAATGATAATTTAGTAAAGCCATTTTATCGTTGGTTTCAATGATGTTTTAGTAAAGCTATTTTATCGGTATTTACAATGATAATTTCACAGAAATGTGTTTTTGTGTTCTAGCAATGAAGGATGCATTTCACAATGAGTAGTCATAGGTAGATATTTATTATTATTATTTTTGATCTGGTAAAGGTAGTAACACTTGTATCACACAGTAACTGTTAATCACATTCATGCATGGCTGTCTTGTGGGCATCAATGTTATAGTGCAGTATTAATTTGCATGGGATTTTAAACATGGGGAGCTTCATTGTCAAATATACTTGCCTAGATTTAACGATTTGTGATTGTTCATGCTTCATCTTCCTCCATTTAATGCTTGATCCACATAACAACATTTATTGGTTAGTGTAAAACAATTTACATCTGACAGATTTTATAGAGCAGTAATAACCATAAGTGTTGGCCTCCTGATAATTAAATATGCATCATATTAGGATCTATCCATATCTAAGTGAGGGGGTCACGGTGGCTAAGTGGGTAAGACTGCTAGTCTGGAGGTCGAGTGTTTAATCCCTGCATTGGCCGAGAAAGTTCATCCAGATTTTCTGGCATGGTTCCCCCTTGTCAGTGATGCAGGAATGAGGGCCTGACAAGGACTTCTGTCTAGTAATTCGGATAGGACGAAAAACCGAGGTCTCGTGTACACATTGATCTGCACGTAAAAGATCCCTTGACATTTGGAATTTGATATAAGAGTAGACGGTAGTGTCGCTGTCCGGGCAAAATTTCCCACATAGCGCTATGCCTGTCTTCATTAGCCCTGTTCGGAGCAGAACAGCAGGACATTATAAGAATCCCAAGGGGTTATTCCACTTCTGTTTGTGGAAGCAGACAATAAACCACATTGAGTGGATATTCATATATAAGATAAAGGGGAGGGAGGCGTGAAGGAACTGTAATGTAAGGGGAGCGAGGCGGAGAGGAACTATATAACAATCTGAAAGATTAGACAGAAAACAACCCATTATCTTTATCATGATTGAGACAATAGTTGGTGGGTGAAACCTGTCGGGGTTGTATCGCTACATCTGGCATGTAGGCGAAAAATAAAACTAAAAACATTTATAATCAACCGCATTTTTATTAATCTTTTTATACAAAATTTGATTGGATAACTTGCCCAATTACTAATAGTAAAAGAATCAGATCAGATCAACCCAGTCATTTGGCCTACTTTTACATGTATTATAGTTTGAACTTTAATCAAAGAGGTTTAAATTCTTTAAATATTGGTTCTTGGCGTTAATTGTTTTGCTATTCAAGTAATAATCTCCTCGTCAACTTATTGAAACTATCTAAGTGGAGAATTTTATAATCTTGATGAATGAAATAAAGACATGGATCAGATTTAATTCATTCCTAATATCCTAGATTCTCATCCTAGTTTTTAATTAAATTTATCCCTAACGATTTAACTCTTGACTTGACTAGTGGTGGAGGACGGATGGCCAGGCAAGGACAATGTCTAGTCGTTCGGATGGAACAAAATATGTACACAGGACCTCAGTTTTTCTTCCTACATGTGCCCACATGTGATGTTAAAGTCATGAAATAATCATGTGGTACGGTATTTTCTTCCTACATGTGTCTACATGTGATGTTAAAGTCATGAAATAATCATGTGGTTAAAGAATGGTACACTATTTTATTCCTACATGTGCCCACATGTGATGTTAAAGTTATAATTGTCTGGTTAAAGAATGCTACGGTATTTTATTTTGGGAATACTAGAAGTGATAAAATTAAAGGTTTACATTTGAAGAGTCCAGGGGAAGAACGATCTAAGTCACGTTTTTGTCTTTTCGCCTAAAAGGCAAAACAGACTTTTGGACGAGAATGCTTGACGCGAACAGAACAATGAGTGGGTTTAATTACAACTTCAAAATGATGTTTAATACGAATCATAATTACCAGTACAACAACTGACTTCCACTTTTAATCTAAATTAAGGTCAAATAAAGGGTACGATGGACGTATTTGTCCGGGAGGCCATTTTAGAAGGGCCTTGGTTCGATGTGACTCCGATCGTTTTTACCTGAAATTGATTGTTCCACAGAAAGCTTATACAATTTGCTACCAGATGGCGTCATTAACTGGGGTTCTTTAAAAAGGTGACTTAGATTGTTCTTCCCCGGGGATCTTCATTTGTAAAAGATTATTTTACGTTTTTATTTGCTAGAAAGGTAGATGTGTATGGAGGCTGAAAATGTCCATTTATTTTTTTGCGAAGAGGTGACAGTGGGGTTACATAGAGGATATTTGTCGTTTTAGAGTGAATAACATATTTTATTTCATCGAGAAGCAAGAAAACTTATATTTTCACGAATGCGTAGCATGAGTGAAAATATAAACGTTTTCTTGCTTAGAGATGAAATAAAATATATTATTCACGACAAAACGACAAATGTTCTATTTATTTTATGATTTTACAATTATTTTAGGTAAAACGCAGTATTCCACTACTGATCATAAAATAAATAGAGGATATTTATCGTTTTAGAGTGAATAACATATTTTATTTCATCGAGAAGCAAGAAAACTTATACTTTCACGAATGCGTAGCATGAGTGAAAATATAAACGTTTTCTTGCTTAGAGATGAAATAAAATATGTTATTCACGACAAAACGACAAATGTTCTATTTATTTTATGATTTTACAATCATTTTAGGTAAAAACAACTAGCCAGTGGAATAACACTTTTATTTCACTGATAAAACGCAGTATTCCACTACTGATCATAAAATAAATTTTGGTATCTTCACCAGTTTTAGACTAAAAAGACAAAATGGCTGATTTCAGCCAGCATAATTCCACCTCCATCATCAGTTTTATAAAAAAACATCCTATTTGATTTTTTTTTATATATTTTTATAATGATATTATTTGAATATGATAAGTCATGGCTCGGTGATTATATATAGATTATTTGATATATTACTGAACCATTGAATGTAACAGATGTTTAGTTATTATAGAGTAGGGTTGATATTTATAGTATTATAAATCATCTTTCCTTAATACAGTCACTGTATTAGATACTGGAACTCAGCATGTATTATAAATCACCTTAATACAGTCACTGTATCAAATACTGGAACTCTAGCATGTATTGGTTATTTAATATCACAATGATTGTATGATATTTCATTAATTCAAAGTATAGCTAATCACATTTCCTCCGTTAACTATATTGAATAGTCAGGCATGATTTGTGATACTGACACCTGTTGTATTGCTATTCACATTTCCTCCATGTTGAGGAATCACATTTCGTCAGTTCACTATATTGATTAGTCAGGCATGTTTAATGATTCTTGACACCTCTGTTGTTGATGTGATATATTCCTATTCACATTTCCTCTCCATGTATATTGAATAGTCAGATATGAATTGTCATATTTGACACTGATGTGATATTTTATTATGATATTTTCTAGTAATTTGACAAATATTTGATTAAAAACACACCTCACATTATTTATTGCACTGAAAAACTCTCTGTTAAGTTTCACAAAACAGAATATTCAAGTTCTGTTTACATTGATATACAAACATTAAAGATGCATTATGTAACAACTAAAATTTGCTTATTGCAGATACTTTTTTTGGGGGGGGGGGGCTTTAAATGTTATATCGACTGACCGTCTCACTGAAACAGGTGATTGGTGGGGGGGGGGGAGGGGTTCCATCTAGTAGACTGACTGTCTCACTGAAACAGGTGATTGATGGGGGGGGGAGGGGTTCCCTCTAGTAGACTGACTGTCTCACTGAAACAGGTGATTGAGGGGGGGGGAGGGGTCCTCCTCTAGTAGACTGACTGAGATTCTATATAGAGACTTTATTGTAGTCATCTACGATCTTGTTGAATCTTACGCAAACCGCTACATTTCTAAAATACAGAATTATTAAATTAATTGTAACGAAAATAATTTTTCTTTTCACTAAATGATATTACAAATACTGAACGTTTAACGTTTTGAATATATCTAAATTACGGTATTATTTGTTCAATAATTAGTATGATAAAAATCTGATTTATTAATGACAACAAACTTAGACTCTGTGTTACTTAAAGTTACAATTTCATATTTTCTAAGAAAGTCAAAACATAATTATTTCTGTCTTTTGCTCAATAGGTTGTCAACTCACTATTATACGATCATAGGTGTCATTCTCACACTTAAAACTCATTTACACCGGAAATGATAACACAATTACCTCCCAATTACCTCCCTTGTTTCTTTTCTTCACCATGGAGTAGCTATCTTCAAACGTTTGAATTTGAAGAGGAAAAGGATATTTGTGCCAATTTCTCAACTGGCAATAGTGAATTATATGATTAATAGGATTATTCTTTAACAAGGTAGGACTGTTTATAGATACCATCTATTTTAAGGCCTTATTTTAATAAATTTTAAAAATATAACGTAAAAATATGAAATTGCAACTTTAAAGACAATTGGATTTCTGGTCATTATGTCATTTTCTCTGGTACAATGTTTGTTTTTAATGGCAGTATTTTTAATAATTATTTCAAAACCTTCCAGATTTCAGATACTAGTTCTTTACGGTCAGGTTACAAGTAAAGTTATTATACTTACGACTGTCCCCTGTATTCACATGTATACCAATAGTTTGTAAATTAGGGGTCAATATATAAGTACATGTACTGTATGAGGTTATTATCTAAAACAGGTGAAAACCCAGAACAGTTATACAAGGTCAGTATATAGGACTACTATAATGTGTTACATGAAATAGTTACAGAGTTGTCATGGTCAGAATTACTCAAGAGAAAGAAGTAGGGGTGGGTTAATATTGTATAGTATGATATATGAAATGGTTACAGAGTTATCATGGTCAGAATTGGTCAAGAGAAAGAAGCGAGGGTGCAGTAATTCCTCTCAACAGTAACCATAGCTACTATATGAAACAGAACTGAGAGAAAGGGTATAATATCCTCTCGACACAAGCTGGGTCATTTCGGGACTAAAATGTACTCTATTTTATTTTTAAAATTTGGTTGCCTGTAATGATCTCTAGCAGTGGGAGGAAACTGCAGGACCCGAAAAAATCCATGAGGATGTTTA